GGTAGCCCTTGTCAGTGATGGAAAATATGAAGTCCATGCTCAGCAATAAGGATCCAGCCCAGCCATTAGCACAGACAGACAGCGTTAGTATAATATATTAAACGCGAATGAAAAACTAGAGAGAAAATGAGCAAGGGGATCACAATACTAGTAATCACTATAGAAAAATGTTTATTAAATTTTATATATGTAAAATGGAGTACTATAATGTTCCATAATACCATTTAATACCTTAGTAAAAATAATATATATATATATATATATAAAATGTTTTACTGATATACATAGATACATATAAATGCTGATAATGTATAGAGAAACCATCACACATGCACTGTATTATAATTAGAAATTGTACAAAACAATTGAGAAGTAATATGACAATATATAATCAAGCTATCAATATGACTGTATACTTCAATTCAGTTTTTCTGCTTTTGAAAATTTATTATGAGCAAGTTATCCTATAGGAGGAAAATAAATTTGCATATGATTTTCCTTGGGATTTCTAAGATAAAATCACTGACAATATGATTGCATCACATATTAAAAGATATACAAACTGACAAGAAATTTCCAGCCAAATGAAGAAAGATACAAGATATGACCTCTATCTAGAAAAATATATGCTTAGTCTAAATAGGAATTATTACTGTAATTATTAATATTTTGTGTCAAGAAGTCTAGTATTGAGGAGAAATATTGTGGTTTTGATATATATTAAGAAAGTCTTTGCTAAAGGTAATAAAGTTTTATGAAATTTTCAAAATGTGGGAATAATGGCGTTTGATAAAAACACTTTTTTTTTACATTAGCTGAGTGTAGGGCCCAGAGCACAGATTATACAGGAAAAGAAAGCATGTGCCCCAGGAAGCAGGGTACAGGGCTGGGGGAGGGCTCAGGGGTTAGAAGGGGACAGAGTGAGGAGGGGACAGGAACCCAGATACCAGCATGAAGGGAGCGCTCACCACCGAGGATCTGGAACTGACTCCACTGATGGGAGAAAGGGGAAAAAGGGTGCTTCTCAGAGCATGAAAGGTGACGTGACTGAATGATGAAGAAAATGAAGGGCGAACAAGTCACTGAAATAGCCACGCACACATTCTAGAAATAGAATATTTCTAGAAGATAATCTCTATAGAGATCAAGAGCCTGAATCCTGGTGTCAGATTCTCTTGGCTCAAATCCCGACTTCCAGTGTGATCTCAGGAAAATTCTTCAAGTTCAGGGCATCGGTTTTCTCACTTGAAAAATGGGGATGGTAATGGAACCCACATCAATAGGGTTGTTGTGTAGATTAAATAAATACCCAGCAGGTAATAAATGCTCAACAAATATAAATGTTATTGTTTGTGCCAGAGATCAGGGTTCCAACCGATTTCTCCTCAGTAAAAGCAGCATGTTATCCTTGCCATTTGACTCACTGGGAAATGCTGTGTTTATCCTTCAACTTCCCAATGACTCCTTGTTTCACTGTCCCAGTTAGCTGAGCGGCAGTTGGCTGGAACTGGTGTGCCATTCAGCTAGAGAAGCAGGTCCTGCTGACTGCCCTCCTCCCCACTTTTGTTTGCTGGCAGCTGCTCCATTACAAGCTACTCAGAGGCATGGAAAGAAAAGAATGCTCCGAGGATGACCTGTCGCTCCCATGTCTTCCTGATCCGTTTAAGTCTGGGAGAAATATTTGCCCTTGGTTACGTGCTGTTTCCAACTCTGACTCATGCCTCTTCCTTTCTCTCATCATTCTCCACCCTTACCTTTTCCTATAATGGCAAAATGACTTCTCCAGCCGTGCAGCCAAGCCGAGTGACCTAGCACGTCCTAGTGCAGGCAGATAGGTGTCTCTGTCCTATTTTTGGACAATTGTTGAAGTGGTGTCCTCTGATTTCTCTGCTGCATGGTTTTCTTTCTTTGCCACAGACACACTGCAACAGTCAACAGCACAGAGACGCAAGGTGGAAGAGGGACAGATGATCACAAGTTGTAGCTCAGTATTCATCTCAGCTTCTGTTCTTCGGCCACTGTCTTTGGGGTCCCCGGTTCTAGCAGAGCCCTCACGCACCTTCCCAGGGCCTTTTTCAGTCAATGAGACACAGGAAAAGTCTTATGGAAAAGTCTTGGGGGACTTCCACTCTCTCCACCCTGTTCAATTTCCATTGCGCCCTTCGCTAGGAGTTTGGGGCAGGGGCGTCCAAAAGCAAAACTGTGTAGGCTGAAGATTGTGTCATTAGAGACTCCTGTTCTCCCTTTCCTGTCCTGATTTTCTGTTTGGTGGGATGTCTTTTAATCAGTGTATGATGCGCTCATGAGGCGCTCAGCTCAAGGCCCTTATACTTGGGTCCCTTCTGTAGTTTCCAATATCCCGCTTTCAGATTGTCCTTTCACATTAAAGTAATGGACTACTAAGAGATTGAAATGTTACCCCAGCCAAAGGGTATCTTTCACTTAAACAAGCATCAAGGAATAAGGTTCAGATGGCAGCATTTCAGACACAGTCCAAAGAAAGAAGCTGAGGAGTGGGTACAAAATGGTTTAAAAATACAACAGATGCCTTCTTTTGCTCATTTGGCTATTAGGGTGTGAACAGGGAAGGGAAACGGGGCTGATTAAATTATGGAAGCCCAAATTATTTCTATCCCTAAAAAGGATAACCCGAATATCTAGCATATCCTTATCCTCTGCCCCATTCTCCTTCCCTTGTTCTTTCTACATACATACGTGTATACCTCGAAGGAAGAAAATATACCAAATCCTGATTTATGATAAATTGCGTTAGTGGTGGTAATTTTTCACTGCAGCACTACCTACTTTTTTTTTAAACTTTCTTAAAGTAATGTGTAACCTTGTAAAAATTCTTTAGGCCACTGTTATCTTAAATAAACATTCTAAAATGACAAAGTTGCAAGCTAAAGAAATTGAGCTATTATTTATATGCTTTCTCCACTACGCTATTCAATTTGTCCTGGATTCAAATGAGACGATATATGGGACTGTTTTCTAAAATGTAAAACTCTATCAAAACAATGTTTAGTATTATAAATTTCAAAATGGGATAGTAAAAAAACAGCAACATTCTAAACTGCCCGCAAAGTATATTTCCTGACCAGTATCTCGGGGTTAGTGCTTCCTACCTCCGAAGGTGTGAAAAAAAATTAAGAGAATCCAGAGTAAAGACCGGCATTACCCCAAAGGATGAAATACACCTGATATGCTTACACCTGTTTTAATTTTCCCAACTTAATGATTCATGAGTGAGAAAATGGTGAGACAGAAAGTCTTATTAGAATCAATGTATTTGAAACCCCACCTGCAAATGAAGAAAATTGTGAAGTCAAAATGTGATTCCCTCTCCAACTCTGAAATCATGCCAAGTTTTCTTCAATTATTTATTCACATAGTCATTCATTCAGAAGATATCGACCGAGCTCACTTTGTGCTGGGCACCATTTCAGAATCCCAGGAAACAATAATAAAGCTGTGTTTTCAGACCTAACTAGCAGTCTAGCAGGGCTCGTTAACAGGGTTAGTTTTACTGTATGGTAAGTGAGCATCGGGTCTGTACAAGATTTTATGTGAAGACACAGAAGAGGCACTTACTGTGGAGGAGGTTTAGGACCGGGGAGGTTAGAAGGATGCTGGCATGCGGCAGGGGGAGAGTGGGCAGTTCAGTGAGGGCTGCGGGAGGAAGCCGAACGCGGCAGTGGGTGGACCGCGAGGGCCCTGTACACAGGGCTCGAGTTTGGATGACATTCTGAGGGCAATCACATACCACTGATAATTCTAGGCAGGAGAGTGACCTGGGAGTCTTGACGTGATCGCTTTTTATTTTGAAGGGGAAGGTGGATTGGAGGTCATTCTGGAGGCTGGGCGTGAGGCCAGTCAGGAGGCTGTGGCAACCAACCAGGCCAAAGATGACAGCAACGACGACAGCAGTGATTTTGGAGAAAAAACACATTTTAATTAATTCGAAATACAGAGTTATATATTATTTGGAGGATAAATGTCGGAATAATAGAGTTGTTATAAATCTAGGAATCCCTGTCATGAATAATCAAAGCCACATCACAGTCTCACAATCACCTGAAGAGTGAAAGCGAATGCATTTATTGTTGTATTTATAGCACACCAACCCTCTGATAGAAAATTCATGATTTAAAAAAAATCTTGAACTGAACAGATATTCTGGCTTGCATATATGCATGGCCACGTCTTCGCCCTACTTAAGTCACAGAAAACAATGAACTCGAAAATTCATGTAGGACTTTTAAGTCTGATCCTTTATTAAAGATAAGAAAACGGAGACCTCCGCGCTTAAACCATTTGCGCGGGGTGACACACGCCTCATCCGATGCGTGACCCGGGGGGCCGGGCTCTTCTCATTATACTCCAAGAGCTTCCCAAGAAAGGCCTGTAAATAAACTCACGGGATGTGGATAACCATTGAAAAGAGGGGCTTTTTATGTTCTCTGAAACTATAAAGGGCATTTTGAAGAGCAATATACCTGCTTTATTGCTAGAGATTGATCAATTGTCCAGATTAACTGACAATGACAAAATCTATGCCAATACCAGCAACAGGCCTCACATGTTCACTTCCCCCAAAATAATTTTGGACTCTAGTCTGGCTTCATGTTACCAGCATCCAAGTACATGTGATTTATATTTTTTTACTTTCTTATTTAAAAAATTGAAAACAGAAATATCAGTTTATTTAGGATTAGCAAGAGATTTTATTTCATGAAGAAGATGAAATATGGTGGGTTTGTGAACCAAGCTATTCCATACTATTCATCAAATGATGGAAAAATTATAGGAAAGCACTTTGAATGCTTGGAAAACAAAGAATTGAACTACCAATCTCATAATTTTTCACAAATACATTCCTGAATAAGTAATAACTCATGTATTTTTATCTATTATGAGTTTTTAATAAGGTAAAATTAGCTTGAAAAAGTTCTTTACTGATTAGTTCTATATTTAATGTAATAAAAGCAATGAACACATTTCATGGGTGTGTAGAAAGTTTATTATGGATATTGGGAAAGTCTTCTTGTCACCTACCTCTCCCCGCACCCAGCTAAAAGAACAAACATGTTTGCACATGAAACCTGGATCCACTTGGTACAAAATTTCAGTCTTTGAAATAGTTAATGGCAAATCTCAATAAAAATTCATTTTGATAGTATTCAGTGCTATTCAGAAATAAGGAATGCACATGTATCACTTGTTAAAAGTTAGTAGGTTTTGTTATATAACTATGTGTATAGTATATATTTTGGCTTTAAAACTTGCCAATAGCTATTTGAAAAGACAGAAGTTTATGATTTATTTAAATAGATATATTATTAATAAAATATTCTGGTCCACCAACATGACTAATTATTTTTAAAGAACACTTTAAATACAAGAAATACTTATAAAGTCATGAGACTGATTGACCTTTATAACTAACATAATAAAATCTATACAGTCAAATGGTTGGTTATGTTTTACGGTAACGATCATGAGGGGCTTTTCTAAGGATGCTATAATGGCCTAAGACAATTTTGAAAATTGTCTTTTGAGGCTACCTTCAAAAACTGAGTTTCATAATTTAATCATTCATTTGATTTGGTCCTCAATAATAGTTCAGTTTAATCATCCTTTATATTCACTAGTCCTGACAATTTGGAAAAATAAAATTAATCTTCAATGAATGAAGATTTGTCATCTAGGAAGATATTCAAGGAATGTTAATTCAAGTTCTGATAGTAATTCTGGAATTTGAGCAATTATACACTTTTAAGATGTATAAATTATAGTAACTGCTCACATCATAGACAACTTTTGCATATGCCTATCATTTTGGAACAATAAGATTTTTAAAACAATAGCAACTCATAACATTGAAATAATATTCTACAGTTCAAAAATGATAAGAATAATTTTATACTGTGTAACAAAACTCATATTAGATAACATATTGAAAGTTTGTAGCTTTTAGTGTTTAACATATATATAGCTCAGTAGCATCGACCCAACAAATCAACAATTGTCTTGTAAGTCTCTCTACATGAATCACTGTAGGTGAAATCTTACTTAAGTGTCAGAAATAGCCTTTATTGTAAAATGTTATTAAATAGCACCAATATTACTTGAAGGTAAAATGAAACATTAAGAATGCAGCATACAGGTTTAATTTCTAACTGTAAGAGAGAAAGCATCACCTGGACAAAATAAGAATTAGATACAGATTATTTTAAGATCACAGCCAGATAAACTCTAGTTATAAAACACTTCAGGGTTTTTCTTGGAAGAATTAGAAAGAAAAGCCTAGTATATTGCTCTGTTACAGTCTATTCCCAGAGAAAAAATATATATGCTTACATAATCAAGACAGTGCAGTCTCACCAATGAAGTTCCTTGTGGGAGATACATTTACTCATTCTATATATTAGCTCAACAAGATCACAAATATAATAAAAGTGTTTTAAAGCAATCTGATTAGAGCAACACTTAATATTAAGTACAAAATATACAGTAAAATGAAACATCTTGTTAAATAGGCCTGTAGGTTAACAATACATTATTTAAAGGAACTCATTTGCATGAATCTATTTTCACATTTGCTTTATTATATTTGATAGCCCCTATCACCACTGTATGCTTTTGTTACTGCAATTTCTAGGATCTTTGAATATCTTATCTTTCAGTATCCCCATGGCTTTATCTGCAAAGGCAATTTAAAAAGTGTTATTTCCAGAATAAAAAAATAGGAAATCCTATATTTTTTATCATCGGCATTTATACACAAAACCACTGTAGCATTTGAGAGAAATGTCCCTTGATCATTATAAGTTTGCCATGACAAAATGTATATTTTTGTTCTAAAGCAAAAACTGTCTGCATTTAAAATTAAGTGTTGCCAACCTACTATTATCCTTCTGGTTATAAAGTTAGATATGAAATCTTTGGTTATTAATTAGAAAAGCATTATTTGAAAAGATTTGCCAATAAACATTTCTAAATGTGGTTGCCCATGTTAACAGTTTTCTTAATTAGAACAGTTGGGGAATGAACAGAACAGTAGTGCTTCTAGGTTATAACAACAAAGAAGTATTACAGCATCCAGATCTCCAGACCTGGGGTCCGAGTGTTCAGTCGTGGCTCAGCCGGAAGCTGACAGAAGAGAAGCTGCGTCCTGCGCTCGCACACAGTGGGGCGATAATAACATCTGTCACGCTCTTCCATATTGTCTGCATGGAAGGCAGGACCATTAGGCAGGTCTTTACAAACGGCATTACAATCCTGGAACGGAGGGAGAGAGACATGCAAGGATTGTTGATGTGAACAATTAAGGCCACTGAGCCTCATATATGTGTGAAAATATATAATAATGGCCTAATTTCCCTAAAGTTGGTTGAACATTTGAAACAAATAAATGAAAGTGACTCACACAGTGATCAGATGCACATAAGATACATTGCTTAAAAAAATAAACAGGGATGTAGATGATAAACACTAATCTTCTTTCCATTGGTGGAATGCTTTCTGAATCCATAAAACAAAAAATGAATAAAACAGTAAATTTATCTACCTGACCTCTGCCCCTAAACATTGACCTGCCTAACTTCATGTTTCCCTGCGATTCTACTTCCTGGTAGCCTTTCCTGCTGCCTCGTTCCACTTCCCTGCCCCTTGGGAGAGGCTGGGTTGGATACTCTTTTTGTGTGTGCGCGCTTCTAAAATACTGAAACAAACTTCCTAATGGTCAAATTTGCCAAAAGTTATCGTAAATAAAAGTTCACATTTGAGGGCTTTAGTTCATAGGATGTGGTGAATTCCTTTTCATTTTATTTTCTTTAAGTTGTTCTTTCCAATGATCCTCTGACATCAAATTGTGTCCTCAACAACCCAAACAGTTTCCCTTCTGAAACTCCAGGCATTTTGGAATGACCTGGTCTTATAATTGATAAGATTATATATTCCTCTATTGGATAATAAAGCCCTTAGGGCAGAGACTTTTATTTAGCTTTGTATGAGCTATAGTGTCATGCCCATTGCATTGTCACAGCCACTTGCTGTATTAAAGAGTCTTCTGGGAAATGAGACTGCTCCCGCTGCAACCCCATCAGTGGGACCATGTATTTGAATTGCGTCCCAGCAAGAATTAGGAGTACGGAGCTCCAGCCATTCTGTGGTATGACTTACGTATAACCCATAACTTGCAGTTGCTAAGGGCGGCTATCTCAGTCTGAATGTGCTATACAGTCAAACCCATGCCCTGGATCCTAATGACCTAGGATTCAACGTTACCAGCTGAGTTTCCGGGTGTCTTTTGTACATGTTGGTATTTGTTTGTTTAAATAATTTAAAATCAGATCCGTTGTGATGATGTGATGTGGTTGGAAGACCTACTACTTCCTATTTTCATAAGCTTCGGTCACCAACTTATTGGAAAAACTATAAAATCCCACACTCTGCCAAAAAAGAAAAAGAAAAAAAGAGAAAAAAGAGAGAGACCAAAAAAGCTTACTCAAGCAGGTTTGCTCTCCTTGACCCATTCTTACCATGTCATGGGAATGTAGTCTGTTCATGATCAATCTATTTTATCAAGTTATAAACTCACTTTTAAGCATTTTTATTTGAAGTTACTCCTCTACTTGCAAATCACAAATGTATTATGGTTAAATATTAATGTCCCACATGAATGTAATTTGAAAAACAACTTGAAGTTAAATAATGCATTTTATGTGGCTGAAAAAGAAGTCGTTTGATGATTCACCATTGGAGACGTCACACAAAAACACCCATGGTTCTCAGGAAAGCCAGGTGGAGAGAAGCATCATCTGGGTAATTATAGTTTTACTTCTATTTTTCCACCAATTAGAAAATGAAAACCTTTTTGCTTTCAATTCTCCCACAAGTGCTATAGGAAAACCTAGCTTTGGTGACTATAAACACAGCAGTTTATATATTTTCAAATAGCTTCAGAGCCAACATTTCACAATATGCTATGTGGTCACTCAGTTTTTCACATTTTTGAAAGTGAGAAAACTGACACAGAGGTTAGATGACTGGTTTCAGTTAATTAGGAATCCAAAATTTTATAGGCTGACTTAAGCATCTTAAAAAATCCATGTGCTCGTATCCATTGTCAGGATACGAGCTAACTATACACATCTGCCTTTTGTGGATCTACTGATAGGTAAAGGCAAAGATTTTCATTCTTTCAGCTGTCTTTTGGCACTTTCAACATAGTTTAGTTGTTTACAACCTTTAGTGATCAAATTGAATTGATGTTTACTGTTTATCCTTTACTTATTTGGTGGATTTGAATTTATTCTTTAAAAGCCTTTGTACACTCTTTTCTCTCTACAAAACCCTCCCCGTGCCTCCCTCCTCCTCCAAAGGTCTAACTGGGTCCCCTCAGCACTGCTGGACCCCGCCAGCTGCCCTGGTGTGCTGGGAGGACGCAGAAGTCTTCTTACTCTTCCTGGGCCCAGTGCGCCCACAATCTAAGTACTCAATAAATTTTCATGGCTGAACTAAACAGCTGGCTAGCCGACTAAAGAAATTGATTCAGATGATAAAGGGAAATGGAGAATACTTTTGTAACTTTTAACAGCAGTCTGTGTAGGGTGTAGCAACACCATATAAAGTGATTAGGAAACACGCGGAGGCCTCTGGGGTTATCCATTTCATCTGGATGGCCCCAAAGCACAAGCCTGGCACCTGCTGCCATACTAGAGATGATCTGAATGTTCTCCCTCTCAGAATAAAAAGGATATCTTTCAAAGCAACAACAAAACTTCTTGGTAAAATACGACATTTTCCTTTAAAAACTGCTTAAAACTGTTCTCTAAAGCTTTATGATGCATTTTGTCTGAATAAACTTATTCAAAACATCTTATCGATGTCCAGTAGGTTTCTATATTATTTTCCCTTTAACTAGATGCCACTCCCATTCGCTCCTCATAGGTGAAAAGTAATTTGGAGGCGGCCTCATTTCACAATCCTGCAGTTTGAGGTTTCAGTCCTTTGTGCTGGAGGGGGGGGGCCTTCACCTTAAATGCACACACCCCGAGTGTCCTCTGGTGTCATCTTTGTCACTTGCCAGGCAGGACTGGAGCAGCCCCTCCGTAGCACCACTTAACCAGGTCTGAGGTCCCTGTCCAGTGATACTGCCACTGGCATTCTGCCCAGAGATCACTTTTGTTTTACCCCAAGCACAGGTGGTGACTGAATCAAAGGTGATGAAAACAATAAGAGCCCTGCCCCAAACCACAGGCACAAGTCATAACACAGCCCTGTGGGCGAGAAGGCAGCCTGTGGCAGGAAACATGGCTTCCAGGTCTCCACCTCCGCCGTCAGCTGGGCCTCAGCATTCAAGGGAAACTCACATTGAGGACAGAGGGACGTTCCTTCTGTTTAAACTCCTCACCCAACCTATGACTCCGAAGATCGCACCCTGCCTGTCAAGGCCTCCCACTCTTGCTGCTGTTATCGGGAGCTGACTTGAGTCCTGTTCTCCCCCGGCAGGCCCACCTGGGAGAAGGGGAGAGCAGGGGGCGGGGGGCAAAGGACATTCCTCTGTTTCAAACGCTGGTCCACCCCAGTGTGCCCCTTCTCACCAAATGTGCAGACAGCTGAGGGTGGCAAAGAGAATTCCCGCCGCAAAAGCCAGGGGGATCGCCAGGAACAGTGTCAGGAACTTATAAATGACATATTTGCTGACTTCAAAGAGGGCATGGCTGCAGATCCAAACTTTGTCTAAGGAGTGCGTGGACTCGGGCTCTGCGATCACATCCTCGAAGCCCACCTGAGCGAGAAGAGAGAGGGAAGGACTTGGCTGCGATGCCCCACCTTCTCTTAGGGTCACGGTGGGCGCACAGGAATCTGGCTAAGAATTCCAGGCTACGCGGATTCCCGGTTCGGACCCCGCGGGCTGACCCAGTGGCGGGGGTGGGGGTGGGGGGCTTTGGGATTGGGGCTTGGGATAGAGGGGCCACCCGCACCCCCAGGCCGTGGCGGGGGCTTGGACCAGCCTCAGCCCCAGGTTACAGCCCACCCTGGGCTTCACCTTGAGATGCGAGTTGAGCCGGTTCGGATCCCGATCCCCGCCCGAGTCCGCGAACTTCTCGGGGTCCGCGTAGTCGACGCCGCTGTGGCGGCTGTAGGTGTCGTCGTCCATGAAGAGCTGGACGTCCGCCTTCTCCGTCTCCAGCCCCATCGCAGCGCTCGGTGCGCGGCGGCTGCAGCCGGGCTGGGGCGGCTCCGGGCCGGCTCGGCCTCCCCTT